GTTTTCTTCACTTTTTATTGCTATTAATATTATTATCAATTATTACTATCGTCATCATCATCATCATCGTTATTATTATTATTACTATTAGTAGTAGTATTATTAAACAAAATTTAAAGAAACTTGGAAAAGAATAAAAACGAAATTGAACCACAGCATCGTATTTCTATCTTAAAAGACATGGCCTGAGATTTATAGATTTAAGTTTTTTTTTAAAATCATGCTTAGGCCTATATGTTCTATTAGGCCTATGTATAACGTGTACTGATGCATATTTACATGTTTTAGAAGTATTCGTTTTGAGTGATCCCAGGAAAGAATTTGTATTGGCTCAAGAATAAGCTTTAACATTTTAACACTGTGTACAAAGGGGGGAGCCGCGGCTCCCACGGCTCCCCCCCCCCGGATACGTCCCTGTGCGGACCACTGGATGAGAGCCCATAGGTGTTACGTCACTGCATATTAGTAGTATTAGAGGCCGTATAAACAGATGGCTGTTGGCTCACCTCCACTTCCCTACCACTGGCGCCATTATAAAATTAATGAGTCGTTACTCAAAACCAACGTACGCGACACCATGTTTCCCTTTATAATTTCCGCTTTGATTTTCTTCCAAGTTGAAAATATAAGAAAAGTTTAATCGCGACCGTAATAGTAGGCCTAATAATTATTAATAAAAATGCTAATGGATGTAAATTTTATAATCACAGGCTGAAGTTTAGATATACTGTAGGCTTACCTATATTATAAAGATGTTATAACAAATTTTATTGAACGAAGATAATAATCAGGCCGAACGTTGGTATTCATGCAATAGCTTTGTATTGAATGATCGATCAATAAGTACATGCAATCAACACAACAATTCCTATTAAGCCTGTTCGAACTTTAAAAAAAATTTATTTTAAAGACGACTCTTTGAGACGATGTTTGTTTCCAAAGTAAATACGAGACTACTACAATTCGTTACATTATATGCACAGGTATTCCTAAACTAAACAATTTAATAAACATTTAATTGGTAAAATTACTATATAATAATTCCACATGTTTAAATCAGTGGCACTTGCTTATAGACACGTGAAGTCTACTAACTGCCATACTCACTATTAAAATATTAAAACCTATCTAATACATTAAATGTAGCACAAAGGCAGTCGCCCACTACAATTTAATTATTCACCCGAGTTCCCCACGTTTGGGGAATCACAAGAGTCATTCGCAGCGGAGAGTAACGCATTGGCCTCGCCTAAGGACTCTCCTACTTTCTTCCATTTACTCTTGTGCCTGGTATTTAACAAACACCTTACCTGGCGCATGAGCATCTAATACATTTTATGCAATACAATACAATAATGTAGGCACTGTTATGCAGCATATCAATATTTTGTTGGCCTATTTGTAGTTTTAATTTGTGGTTATTGGTGGTTTTTTTTTCTTCAATATGGATTTGCATTTCAGGCATGTATGGGCCTAATCCCAGGACTTTTGACAATCGCTATTTTAAAAAATCCATTTTGTAGAGGGGCCATGGGAACGAAATACCGTGTCCAGCTTTTTCTTAAACAACATGTTAGTATTACTCAAAATAGCCTCCAAAACGGTGACTCCACCCAGTGACCCCGTCCCCTAGTATGCTACATTTAAACTCCTTAACCCACCCATTTTGATCTGAATTTAACTGGATTCACCAGTGTTTGAATCGGTAACTCCTTCTGTCTGAATTTCTGTCTTCACCTCTGTCACTACCCTTGTCATTGTTTCTGTTTGTATACGGGTACTATTTTGAACATCATCTGTTGGTTTATCAGTATCAATTGAGAATGTTGTTACATTAATACTCATTTCATGTTTTATTGTCTGCTCAGTAGTCGCTTTTGAAAACAAATAACCTTCAATCGGTGTCTCTTTGGTTGTTTCTGTATCACCAGCATCGACAATTATTTTGTCGGTAACATCAGTCGCGAGTGTTATAAAACCAACCCCTACTGTGTTTATTTCTTGCATAGGCCTACTTGTTGTTTCAACATTTGTTTTGTCTGTCAAATGTATAGGCATCTTCAGTGGCTCTTCTGTTATGAAGAATTTCACAGAAGATACATCCCTATCTAAGTTAGTTAAAGACTTTAGTTCTTCCTTATCTGTATGTTCTACAGTTTCTGTCACCTGCGTGTTTTCGATGTCATTGCCACGAGTCGCTGTCTCGATTCCACTTACAATTGTTTCCAATATTGTAGTGCGATCTGCCGTAATGTTCGTCACTTCAGTGACCGGAGGATGTGGATAAGGAAGAGTAGAGACCTTCCAGTATCCTCTTGGTACACTTCTGTCTTCAATTTTTGGTGGTTTTGATTTGCCAAGATAAGTAAAACCCACGCCAAGATCTGATGGCGATGTAGTACCCTCTAATGGAGCCAATGACTCAGTGATGTCACTGGCAACATCGGTCTGTAATAAAGTTTCCTCAGTTTTTATTGGTGTTTCAGTGAATATATCTACGTCATTTTGTGTAGATTTCGTATCTGACGATGTAGCGTCCACAGACGGCGGTGTACCTTCGGTCGATGTTTTTGACTGAATGATGACGTTAACCGGAGATGAAACTTTCTCTGTTATGATTAGTTGATCAGTGACCATATCTGTAATTGTATTGATCGTTGTTGACTTTTGAATTTCATTTGAAGCAGTCACTACGTCGCTTGTTGTACCTTCTGTATGTGACTGCGTAGAGTCCTGGCCTGGTTCTGGTTCTGGTTCTGGTTCTGGTTCTGGTTGGGACGGTGGTGTCGTGCCGTCAGACAGAGTGTTCGACTGAATGATGGCGTTTGCCGGCGATGAACTCTCCTCAGTTACGATAGGTTGATCAGTGATCATATTTGTAACTTTATTGATCACTGTTGACTCTTGAATTGTATTTAAAACAGTTACTATCGGCACGTCTCGTGTACTTTTCTTATCTGATGGCGTAGCGTCTATATCTGACGGCGATGTCATACCGTCATACGGAGTGTTTGATTGAATGATGACGTTAGTCAGTGATGAAATATTCTCTGTTGCGATGGGTCCATCAGTGACCATATCTGTAATTTCATTGACTATTGGAGATACTCGTTCTGTTTTTGAAAAAGGCGGTATGTCGGTTTTTGTAACAGTAACTGGGCTTTGTGTTACCGGTCGTTTGGTAGTTTTTTGCCTATCTGCCATTGTCGCTGCAGTTGTTTTGTAATGTGTAGTACTTTTTTTTACTGGAGCAGTTGTAGTTACTGAAGGCGGTGGTGTTGGTGGTATTGGGGGTGGTGGCGGTGTCGGTGTTTTCGTCGGCAAGGTTGGTGTATTTATGGTTAATGTGGGTGGGTTTGTTGGCTGTTGCTTGTTTGACGGGTTTTCCTTTGGTCTATTTTGCTTCTTTCCTTTACCTACAAAATGATTAAACGCAAATATACCACAATGAGTCAATCAGATAATTAGTCTTATGGCGCGTTTAAATTATTTTATAGTATCAATTTCGACCTTTTTAATTCGAATACGACAATGAGTAGGCCCATCATTTTTCTTAGAGTTGATCTTGAAACAATTTTGATTAATATATAACTTCTGGTATAAAAATTAACAAAAGGCTGCCAAATGCGGGAAAGAATTTTTAAAATGTATAAGATAAAGTACGAATCACTAAAATTACATACAGCCTATAAAGTACCGTATATTCGCATTTTGATTTTAATTCACTCCTCGATCCTATGGCACAGCTCGGGTTACTGGCCATGGCTTTTCGAAAGTTACATCAGTTTTATACTCTTTGGTTACATTAAAGCTGCGATCCCTTATTTGTTGCAAAGATTGCGCACTGATCTGACCGCGAATTCACAGTCTACGTGCTGATTCATAGCCGTTTTGTAAGGCTGCCAAATGCGTGAAAGACTTTTTAATATCTAAAGAAAGAATCACTGAAATTACATAAAGCCTATACAGTATGTTCGCATTTTGATATTAATTCACTACCATCAATTTTCATATGGTAGAGCTGGTACTGACTTATCGAAACTACATTAAAGCTGAAAGCTGCGATCCCGCTATTTTGTTGCAAAGAGTGCGCATTGGTCCCATATAACCATTTTTTAAAGAATAATCATAAAACAAAAATGACATACAATGCGAGAACAACTCCAACAACCTCGACTTACTTTTGAAGCGACATTCTCCTTTATACATCACAGTTAAATGTGCTGGTTGTTGGAGGCATTTTCTATATTTTAGGACAGCAGTGTTTTCGTGTGTCTTGTAATCACTCCCGCAAACAGGCTCGTACTTAAACTCCTTCTTCATCACAGATCGACACCGCCTTCTAGCTTCTACAAGATATGAACAAGGATGGGTATGGAAACTCTGAATATATTTTCTATGCTTAGATCAAACTACGCTTTGCGTAATTACTAAAGGAATGGACCTAACATTATCATAAACATCATCATCATCATCATCAACATTATCATTATTATCATCATGAACAGCATCATCGATATCACCATCAATAGCATTGTCATCATCATTTGGAAGCGGCAGTGACGCAGCGGGAACGGTTGGTTTCCCAACCTCGAGGTCAGGGGTTCAATCCCTCACTGTGCATTTTGCTTGTGTCTCCTTGAGGAAGGCACTTTATCTGCGTTGCTTCTCTCCACCCAAAAGTATAAATGAGTACCTGGTGGGGTTGCCTGCTCCTTCGCCTAGATGGCAGAAACACTTAAGAATATGAACCCAATGACCAGGGAAAAAATTACAGCGCTTAGTATCAGTAAAGAAAGGCGCTATATAAATGACCAGATTAGATCAACATCATCATCATCAACGTCCTTATCATTATTATTCCTATTGTTTTCAGTAAAAAAAAACAAAAAAAAAAAACCACCAGGCCCTTGGTGCTCTGAGCATTTTGTGTTTAAAACGATTTCAGGAAGTGTTTGTTGACAATACCGAGTACGATACATAAACAAAATATTTTTAATAAAGCCACATAAAATTTGAGTTTAAAGGGCCTATATTATGTTTAATTTGAGCACCCGATGTATACAAACTTTTCATTACTTAAACAAACAAAATATGAATAGGCATACTGATCAATTCAGTAAATTAAGGCCTATTCACGTAAATACTGCAATCTAATGAATCAAGTTAATGCATGACCGCTTTTGTATTTTTAATAAAACAAATTTCTTCTAATTTTAAATAAATTTTCCCCTGGATTCGTGATAATTCGTTATCACGCATAGACCTGTGCTAAATGCGTGACAAATTTATGTGTTTTAGCCAAGGGCGTCGATCCGTGGCTGAAAGTGGGGGGGGGGGGAACGAGATGAAAATAAAGCCTTGGGCCGCAGGCCCAAGCAAAGGTTGGGGACCAGGGGGCGAAGCCCCGGAAGCTCTGGCGCATATAGCCTTTTTTTTCCATTTTTAAAAAATAATTTTGAAAAAATTAGGGCCGACTCGGCCCCACTTGAATCTGCCACTGATTATTATGGCGTCATTGCGAGACTGCGTCAACGTAACACAGGAGTTTGTAAACTTTTGGTAGGATTCATGAGTCATCCGTAATTGTTATTCTTTCCATTCGCTTGTAAAAGTGTAAAAATTATAGAAGATTGGTGAAAAGAGGGATGTTCCCCCCCCCCCCACTTTGAAAAAAAGGGGGGGGGGGACGCCACCCCCTTGTCCCCACCAATCGACTCCCATGGTTTTAGCAAAATGCTTGTTTTCAACTAAAATCACTTTGAAATGCGGGACCGTTCCGCACGATACGAGACGGTTGGTAATTATGTGATTGTAAAAAGCGCAACAATAAGTTAACACCAAAATGACCAAAACAGTACGTAGATTGTCAAGTTTCTCTGAATTCGTTAAAGGCCTAAATTAACACCGTATCCTTTGATTTTGACGTTGGTGCAGATATAGTCTCGAGTTGAATTTCCATACTGTAACTATAGGCCTAATAATGTAAATATTAATATTTAGAAAAAATATTACCTATGAAAACTTACTTCGTTTGTATCTGCACTCTCCAAACGATTTAACACGCAGATCAAAATCTAAGTTATGACACGCAGTCTTGGATAAGACGTCCTTATTCAAGTATGACACGCCATTAGTGCCACACACTGGATGGTATTTTAAACTTGCATGTCTCCCACAAGCTGCTGTGTATGAGTCTAATTGAATGGGAAAAATGCTTTTTTATCTACAAACTTGTCCTCGCTATGATCATGATGATGATCATCATCATCATCAACATTAGCGTCATCATAATTTTTGACAAGCGCATCCTGATTTTTAAACAGCATCGTCGTCACCGGCCATCATCACTGTTGTCAGATGTCGCCAACGAAATTGTCGTCGTCATCTTATTGCTATCATCATTACGATACATCCTTTCACGAAGTCTTACCACATCATATACGGTATCAAATAGGCCTATCGTATCATACCATGATACCATATATCATATCATATCACATATCATATCATATCATATGCCTACCATCATACAAAAGATCACATCAGCTTACATGCCATTACATCGCATAACATATGGCATATTATATATCACATATCACATTATTATATGGTGATTATGGTACATAATGACAACGATGATATTACATTGTATCATTATAATAATATTTTTACTTTTTATTTTAATTCAATAAGGCTCAATGTAAAATAATTACTTATTGTTAAACAAAACCCGTTATACTGCTTTGTTAACTGTGGTCCATTATAACATCTCTCTTGATTTAATAAACATTCATTGTTGTATGTTTTGTCATCTGTGCCACAGACAGGAGATACGACGTTCGAACAATGGTGCTCACATTGACTACCTGGAGAAAATCGAAATAAATTAGGGACAATTAACCACATCGCAAACAACAATATTATAGATAAAAATTAACAGAACATGCCTACGGATAATATAAATTGTAAAGGACAATGTGCCAACGATGTTAATGAATAGTAGGTCATATGTCATAAGAATATAAAACAGAAGAAACGTGACAGAAAGACACTGACTTAACATTCATTTCTCTAAGGACTTCCTCTTTGCGGTAGGACAACATGCAATTCTGTAGAGGTCAAACACGAGGTTTCCAAGAAGACGCTTCTCGATATTTTTTATTCCTATTTCTGATAATTCTAAGAAGCCTTCATAACTTGGACTCCAGTGGTAAACAAAAGTTTACTTTTGACAAATATACATCATTAATGCCGAAAATCATGCATTAAGATGAATAAAACACTGGTTTGCTCATTCAAAAGATTCACATAACTTTTAGGGTATCAAACAGATAATTTTTTTCAATGATTTTAGAAAACTTATTTAATCTGGCAGATATCATAGCCATTATGCAAATACCGTACCGTACTCTGGAGATTGTAATTTAAACGTCTGTTAATTGAAGAGGGTCTTTTTCTGACAGGCAACATCTCAGTGAAATAGATACAAAGTAAGCTAATCGTTTTTAGATTTGAGATTGATATATTTTAGAGGATATAATGCATTGAAATAAATCCCTTACGTTCTACTTGCTTCGGAAAGCATTTCCCATGATGCAGTGCTGTAGTGTGCACGCCCTCCCAGCAAGCGTAGACTTTCATAACGCATTCGTTGAAGTACGTCACGCCATCACTGCCACACACTGGAACGTGGTAGTCATACATGCAGTGTCGACTACATGGATCATTTTCTATACGATAAATTATATGATAAACCCTATTAGTATAAGTCGGTAAGTAGGCCTAAAACAGGAGGAATTAAAAACTAGTTAAAACTATCGATATTTGTTGAAAATAAGTTCTCTGTACACAGTGCCTGAAGAAGTCTGTGTACAGAAAATTACTGTTAATAAATGTTTTAAATATGCTACCCGGCACGTAAAACTGAACTAATGGTGTCTATTTGTGACCAATTCTATTCTAATAGTAACCCCAATTACCCACTACTGGGCCAGTGGGTTTGTTATATTGATAATTTTACTGAAATCGAATAGGGAGCTGTTGATTATTAATGGCATAGTATCAAAAAATTCTATTGCGATTTCTCAGTAGTTAACAGAACTTAAACCAAACTAAAAAGAGCAAATGCAACTTACTGTTATAATTGAATGGGTCAGATGCTTGAACCAAGATAAAATTGCACATGAAGAAGGCCGGCAGAAATATTGACATCTTAAAAAAATTGGCCTATCTGAAAAAAAAAATAACGAATTAACATTAATTCATAAAGAAAACGCTTGTTTTCCCCTTAAAAAAAATTTTTTTTTTTGCTTTTAAAAGACACAGTAAATACGGTAAATAAGCGAATCTAACAAAAACTTGGAATTGGCCTACTATTTAATCAGCACGTAGAAACTTCGAATGTCCCGAACTACCACTATGGCGAGACAAACTCGGTGAGTCATGTGAACGTCTTCTGTGAAGCGCTCTTGGGATGCGACTCACTCCAGGGGAAATGCCTCAGGGAAAATCTATTAAATGCCAGGTTACATTACGAAGCTGCATTCCAACTTAGTTTATCATGTATGTTATTTGTTTTTATAATTATTTCTCACTAATTGATTAGAAGGAACACATAATTATATCATATTTGTAATAGCCTGAACGATAAAAACTCCGTAGGCCTATTTGTTAGTAACGCGTTGGTCGTGTCAATATTGATGATGCGTTTAACGAATGACAGAAATGTACTACCAAACGATATCTTTAGTATCGTAGACCTCAATTAAAGTATAAACGTATTGGTGTATACTATTCTTAAATATCTGTATCGTGATCGCGGACTTAATATAATGGTTTATGGAAGGGTCTGTTATACAAAATTAAATATAGACAGGTAATAGGTTGGTCTAAGTGTAGTACTTTTTTATTTTATTTATAAGAACCAGTATAGTGTTTCTCAGCCTCAATTTGTTCTTTTTTTTGTTCTTAATTTTTAAGCAATTTCAGCCTCAGTTTTCTTATTAATGTGTTCTTTTTTGTATGAAAATAACCACAATAACGCTTCAAGAAATCAAGAGCAGCAGACTCATTTATTTGTTATTACGGGGTTTGGACATTTATTCGGACTGTCTATCGGAGTGTCACACCCCATAACTTTAGCAATAGGGAGCTTTCGGTTTGTGCGACGACGCAACGCTAGAACGGATTCACTCATGCGTGACCGTCCTACCTGGCGTCCTACCCTATGTAGATTTGGCCAAATTGCGTTCCAGAATCTACTCGACGGTGACCTTAACGTTCTTGCACACGCAGATGACTTTTAGTGACGTCATTACGTTCTACGTCCTACCGTCGTCCGTCTTGCATCTGGCTCATGGTATAATGATCTGATGAAAGTTCAATCCCACATGAAAACCTTTTGTGACGTTGCAATGTCAGAGTGAGTGAGTCTCAAAGAAGTGTGTACAGAATAATTATGTTACTCTACACATAGCCGAGGGCGATATTTTTTTTCCTATACGAGAATTGTCAATGAAGAAGAATTAAGCAGCCTGAAGAATTAAGCAGTCTCTTTTTCGTACAATCTGAGACAACTATATTATTAATCATAATTGTCTCAGGAATAAGATGAGCTGTTTTAATCGCACTACTTGTTCCATACTCGACTGAATTTAGGAGTCACGTGACGCAGAACAGCCAATCAGGCTGCTTAATTTTCCGTCATTGGCAATTCTCATAGGAAAAAAACTACCCCAGGAAATCAGGTCGTTTCACTAGAGGGCGTACATGAGGATTAAGCCAGTCAAAATAAGGATATTGAGGAAATTAACAAGATAAACAAATCCTAAGAATAACGAAACAACGTTCGTTATCTAGTTATGCTATAGATGCTATTTTTTAACAACGTAAGATTAACGAGGTTTTACCTTTTTTTATAATGGTAAAACCATATGACGTAGATTCTTGAAAGTGGGTGGACGTCTTTATAGCAAAATCGGTATGGTGTTTGGGGGAGTGCAGAAAAGAACGTCGGATTTTTAGGCCAAAATATGGAGTGGTTATGTCTATTAGAACGCATAAGTGATGTTACACAGTTAAGTATTAATTAACTTGCTCAGTTTCCTTCAGATCAGTTGATACAAAGGAAATTTCATTTTGAAATATAATATTTCAGCTATCGCTTAAGTAGTTACTTGACCTTTTACAGAGAAGCAAATATACACTTGTTTAAACTTGTTTAATTGAATAATATTCGAAAACATTATTTATAATAACTACTATTTCTTAATCATATACGTAAGTTGGGAATATGTTTTTAAAAATACGAATGGGGTTCTCATTAATATGATTATTAATAATAGTAGCGATAGATTTATAGCACATATTGTAATTATAATATTTGGTTAAAAGTTGTGAACTGTCTAAATGTAAAGAGTAGAAGATACAGAAGTAGACAGGGTTCACTCCAATAGAGTGAAAAAAGAAGGGGTGGCGCCAGGGGGGGGGGGTTTCGTGGGCTAGGGCCCCCGTCGGGAAAGAAAAACCAAAATTCGTCGGGGAGAAAAAAAATATATGTATTTTCTACATATTAGTAGACTCTAAAACCGATTAAATAAGCCTCTGAAATCCCTAAATTTTCATATTTTTCGGGGGTTTCGCCCTCTGGAACACATTCGAGGGAAAAAAGCAAAAAGGAGGGAAATATTAATTTATTAATTTTATTTTATCATTATTATTACATGGAATAAGCAAGATCATTGTTTATATCTAAAAACAATCAACGATATAACATCGTCACTATGAAATTGAAGTATAAAATATGCAAGCATAATATACAAATAAAATATTTTTTGGAGACAATAGTTGTGTGTGACATTATTAAAGTAGTTGATTCGATATATCCAATAAGGGATGTCAACCACCGTCCACCTGTTGTAATAGTTATCATCTCCATCACTCTCTCTCTTAATGTGATCTATTTTTTGGTATTGACTAATTACGAATATCATTATACTAATAATTAAGAAACAAGTATGCACTATTAGAATTGTCAATGTGTTTACGACTTAACTGGATATGTGATTTGCAAACCCATACGAACGACTCGTCGCAAACTCTGCTTAACAACGTCCTCTTTGTTACAACCTAATTTTCTGCCTATCTATTTCATTGACAGGAGTACAAGAAAAAAATCACGAAATAATATTTTCTATTGTTCAACTAATGTTGAAC